AAACTGGTGTAGAATTTGCCACAACAAAAACAAAATGAGCAGAAGGTTGCTGTTTCCTATTTTAGGTTTTAAATGACAATTCATATGAAGCATTAAGTGCAAGAAAAGGAGATGTGAGATTTTAAACCTATTATGTGGCAAGGATGATTGTGTGACCCTAAGTGTTTCCTTTTTTTAGTTCCACTATGTTCAGATGAATACACACACTGGCCAGTGTGCTTAGGTTTGCTGCAAAAGTGACAAAGAGTCCTATAGAACTTTAAAGATGCACAAATTTATTTATTTATTTATTTATTTATTTATTTATTTGCAAATTTATTACAGCATAAGCTTTCACGGATTACAGTCCAGTTTATCAGATGCATGAAGTGCTATCCTGAGTTGGTTGGTATATATTCAGGTATACAGTATGTATACCTGCAACTCAGAGCACTTCCTGCATTTTATGCGGTAAACTTTGATCCACAAAAGGCATAAGATATTTGTTAGCCTTTAAGAAACCAGAATGGAATCAACATCAATGGAAGATATCTAAATTGTCTATGATATGCAGAAGATATAGTTGCAATAGCCAAAGGTCAACAAGAACTATAAAAAAATGTTGGAAGAACTAAATGAAGTATCAAAAAAGGTAGGATTGAAGATGAACCTAAAGGTAAAGGGACCCCTGACCATTAGGTCTAGTTGTGACTGACTCTGGGGTTGCGGCGCTCATCTCGCTTTATTGGCCGAGGGAGCCGGCGTACAGCTTCCAGGTCATGTGGCCAGCATGACTAAGCCGCTTCTGGCGAACCAGAGCAGTGCACGGAAACACCGTTTACCTTCCTGCCGGAGCGGTACCTATTTAACTACTTGCACTTTGACGTGCTTTTGAACTGCTAGGTTGGCAGGAGCAGGGACCGAACAACGGGAGCTCACCCCGTCGCGGGGATTCGAACCGCCGACCTTCTGATCGGCAAGCCCTAGGCTCTGTGGTTTAACCCACAGCCAAGACTAAAATAATTTATTAATTGTGATGTGTTTTGGAGAGAAGATTTGGACCATGACACAGAGAGACATGAACAGCTTAAGAATAACACAATGTACCATGGAACATTCAATGTCAGGAATGTAAAAGACAGAAAAGCTAGTAACTGGATATGACAGAGACCAGAAGTTATGGATGGAGTGGTGAAGGCCATGAAGTTGAAGTTGGACATAATGCAGGACATGTGACAAGAGGCAATTTAGGCCAATGGAATAAAGCAGGGTTAGCATGGAAAGCCTACAATTTCAAAAGACCACGGGGGAACCACTTATGCAACAGGAGGATGATCTGAAACTAACAGCAAGCCTTATGTGGATGCAAGAAGCAAACAGCAGAAAGCAATGGAGAGAACTTGAAGAGGCATATATCCAAATATGGATGTGAGATGCTGGGGAAAAACAAAACAAGAAGATGCCACAAAACTCTTTGGATCCCCCCCCCCTTTTGCCAGGAGAATAATGTGGTTACATCTTTGGAACTAGGTTTGAGGCTGAATCAAGCTGAGTTTTGTCATTGCCTGGTTATCACTAGAAAATTAGTCAATAAAAAGGGCATTTAAGAAAACAGAAATCACTGTGCTTTAGTAGCTTTATCATAAACTGCTCTAGGAAATCAGCAACATATCAGTTTGGAAGAAAAATGAATTATAATGTTTCACTTTCCTACCTAAAAGTCATAATTTTGAAGAATTTTCCGTAAGATCAAAATCTGTCCAAGGGGACAGACTATTGGGTGAGAGTCAAGCTACATAATCAGCCTACACAAGTCTGAACAACTCTGTGATTCTTGATGGATACTTGATGCCAATGATGCTATTAATTGTAGAAAGCTCCTCTAAAACTAATGTGGCTGAAAAGACTAAAGAGTCAAAATCCATAGCACCATAAAGCCCTGACTGCTGCCTTCTTGCATTGGTGTCTCTTCCAACTGTACAGTTCTACGATTCCTTAAGCCAAGCTCTTTGTGGGTCAGCAATCCACCCCATAAGCACCCTCATGGAGTCATGCTGTCCAGTCCCTGAAGTGTTTTACACCTCTGGCTCAAAGCTCAAAAGATCTGTAGGTTTGACTTGGCAGAAGGAAGTGTACATGGTGCAATCCTCGTATTAAGCTGATAGCAGTCTCTGGATAGCATTCTTTGTATCTTCCTTTGAATGCTCCATACATTTCTGCTTTGACTTTGCTGAAAAAAGGGGGGCAACAGAAGAACCTTGAGGACTTCTCTTCAAAGTCTGAGTAGTCTCTTCCATCCTGCCACAATGCCTCACCCTTCCCTTAAAAGGCCCCAGTTCAAGTTTCATTGCAGAGTTCAGGAAGCACAGAGGATGGTATGCATATAAACAATGGCCCATAGATATTGTGGCTTTCGTATAAAACAAAATGATATACTGGTCATATGACAGAAAGCGTCAAGCTTCTTCTAACTGACTCTAAGACAATCATAGATAGTCACAACTAGATTCTTTCTGCCCTGCCTAGACAATGTGAAATTCCATACACATAATCCAAAAATCTTCAGCAGACATAGGTGACCTAATGTATCATGGTTTGCTATAAAATGAATACAGATCCAACCACATGCGCTGCAGAGACAGACAGGCAGGCAGACACATGATATAGCAACACAATTAAATTATGGACAGAAAGCAAAAGCTCCATTTCCATGCCTAACATGTCCTTCAATGTATTTCACTGTGATTGTCTAGCTGGATGATAAGATGCACGAAACAAGTACATCATCATCATTAGGCTCCAGTTGCAACACTGTTTGGAACCAAAGTATGCAGAATTTCCTGGCCTAGCCAGTTTTCTACACCAACAACTGGTTTTCTGAAGCAAGCCTTCACCATCAGCTAGATTCCCTGCTCCCTGAGTTTTTTGTTGTTGTTTTTTGCTCTGCTTTGGGTGTTCTTCAGACTTTGGATAGGCCACATGACTTCATCCTTTCAGCTTCTGCCCCATCCTTGAAATAGAGATACTGTAATAACTATTAAAATACAGTATTCACAGGCAAAGATACAAACTGCCAGCATTTAGCCCAGCAACATACATTTCCTTCAAACAACATTTCCGTGTAGAAAAGGTAGGCTCAAAGCATATAATTCATGCCCAACAGGCATTCCCATCAACTGATGAACTGTTTCTATGGCACACTTCATTTAGCAGTGAAGACTGTTCCTACAGAGCATTTAATTAGCAGCTAAAACTTTTTATTAAAAGCTTTCTTATGCATTCCACAAACATAAAATGAATTTATGCACAAGAAGCAATGGGGTGGGGAATAATAATAGATTGGCAGCACTCCCCTCATTGTTTACACATTTCCGTAGGAAAGAGTTAGATATAAAACTATTCTAAGTTTCACACAACCATGTGTAAAGCAAACTACTTGGCTAGGGAAAACCTATGGGGAAATATGGGCATACGTGCATATGCAAGCATACTTAACATTGGACTCACAGAGAAGAAAAGAATCACAAAAAAATGCTTCTTCAAAGGGCTTGTGTATGTCAACACAAACGTCAGATGTGTGTACTAAACGTCAGACGAATGTACAAGTTCATAATATGTGTGAATCAAAACACACACCCCACACACTCATATATATATATATATATATATATATATATATTACATAATTTGCTAGCCATTCAACATTAGAGGGGATGTGATTAATCTTCCACGACAGGCTCTGAACTTTCCGTTCAGATGGGTTCTTCCTCTTCCTTCAGACCTACTGGCAATGGATGTCATTTGACCTGCAGATTTCACTCCGAATAAGGATCAGAGAAACAAACACTGACATTATTCCGCTAACCAATTATCTGCCTCAATTTACTGCTCAAGCCCAGAGACTAGTTTGCTAAATGCATAACAACTAGAGGGGGTGGTGGGGGGAGAAATGTTTGATAAAAGGAGGGGGAAATATCGTCAGTTCTTTCGTTTTGCACTTAAATGAGCAGAGTGGATGAAGCCAAAGGAAGCCAGGCACAAAGCAAACAAATTTGAGTTTGGGGAGGTGGAGGTGGAGGGGGCTGGGATCTAAAGTACCATTCATCTGGCTCAAAAAGTGGTGAAGGAGAAGCCAGGCCTTCTCAAGGGTTTTTGTGGGGAGGCCAAATAGGCTCCTTAGAAAGGGGCAGTAGATAACGAATAACAGGGATAGAGAGATGCTTTTGAACCATTTTGCCTGCCCTTATTTTCCCCCATCCTCTTTCCTTTCCCCAGCAGGTTGCTAGGAGGAACATGTGCCTCTACTCCATCCTGGGTTTACACTTTGGGAAACTCTCACTGCCCTATCTCCCTCCCCAATTTCCTATCCTGGGGAAGGAAAGGCAGCAAGACTGTGTCTTTCTCCACCTCCCCGCACTTAACCCCAAATCCAGTTCTTCACCCTACTTCTTCCTCCTCAAGGGACTTACAATCCTAGCCAGGCTTCACCAGAACCTTGAAGGGGGTTGGGAGGGAGCGGAGGAGGAGAAGGAAACACACCTGTTTCATCAAGCCAGAAGAAGTGAATGCAAAACAGAGAGGGCTATTATTCCCTAAATAGAAAACAAGCACTTAGCAACCTTTCTAGGTGGACTTGAATGCCAGAACCCTCTTAAAAATCAACTAAAAAATGCACTCCTCTCTCTACCTCAGAAGGGGAAGAAAAACCTGGTGCTGGGTTTTCCTGCTCCCACCCTCGAAAGGAAAAGCAGTTGGTGGAGATCCAGAGGGGTTTGGATTTGCAAGACCCCCCCCCAAAAAAGGGACACCCTTCCCCTAATCAGCAGAGGGTCAAGAAGTCACCGAAACCACTGTCTTGAGACCAAGGGGAGTCTAGCCATTCCCTTCAACGCCAGGCACAGCTTCCCCCCAGCCGACCCAGGCACCCCTCACTCACAGATATCCAGCCCCACACAAGCCCAAACACCACCCCTTCCGCTCGCTCGCTCGCTCGCCCTCTTCCAGCTGGCAGTCCGACTTACCCACTCCAGCACCCTCAGGAAAGCCAGGGGCTCCTTCAGCGCCCGGAAGGTTCCCTTGGAGGCGAGCTGGTGGGGGGGGGGGGAGAGAGAAGCCAGTGAGGGCAGAGTCAGGGCAGGGTAGGGATGCCAACCCCCGCGGCGAAGCCTCCCGGCGCGCGCGCTTTCCCCTGCCTCCCTCCCTCCCTCAGGCGCCCTTACCTGGTTAACGGGTTCCATCCCTGCCCGGCTTTTGGCGCGCAAACTTCAGCTTCCCCGGAGGAGGCGGCGTCCAGGTGCAAGGAGCGCCCTGGAGAGACTCTAGGCGGCTTGCCCGCGCCGAGCAAGGCAGCCGAGGAGCCCGGGTTGGAGCGAGCGAGGCGGGCGGGGGGGAAAAACCCAGAAGAGCTGAGCTCCCAGCGAACATCCACGCCCGAGCCGAGCGCGCTGGGCGGAGGGAAGGAGAGGAGAAGGAGGAGGGGCTGGGCTGCCCGGGCTCGCCGCTCTGCCGCGCTCTAGTCGCCTGAAGAAGCGAGTGCGAGGTGGCCGGGCCGCTGCTTGAGAGAGGAGGGGGACGCTTCAGCCGCTCGCTTCGCCTTCTCACGGGCTGAGCGCTTCTCCCCTCACAAACCTCTGGACGGTGCTGGCGCGCTTCCTCCGCATGTCGAAGCGGAGGCAGAAATAAGAACAGGAGGAGGACTTTTTGAAGAGAGGGGACGCGCTGCCACTCCGGCGCGTTTTTTCCCGCGCAGCGTCCCTGCGAATAGCGGCGCGCTCGCCTCAGTCGGCGTCTTCCCGCCGAGGGAAGAGCTGCACCCTCCCTCTCGCGCGCGATGGGGGACTCGTAGCCCGATCCTACGTCTCCTTAGAAGCCGCCTTATACCGAGTCAGAGCACTGGCCCGTCTAGCTCAGTAATGCCTACACTGACTGGCAGCGGCTGTCTAGGTTTTATCGCGCAAGTCTCCTAGCCCTACCTGGAGAGGCCTGGGATTGAACCCGGGACCTTTTGCTTGCAAGGCGGACCCTCTACCACTAAGCTATGGCCCTTCCCCTCTTACTTGGGAGTAAGCCCCAGTGAACGCAATGGAGGGGTGACAGCACAGGCCGTGAGTGCAAGTGGCATAAGCAAAAATAAACCCCTGCCTCCAAGGAGTTTACAGTCTGAAATAAGCAATGGGGGAAAGCAATAGAGGGAGCAGTGGATGCAGATAATACTTGTTTACTACACCGTGTATGCGGTTTAGCCCTGTCTCTGTGTATGTATTTTTCTCTCAGTTAAGCTAAATTAGATTTCTTTCCAGCATATATGTGCTAGGTTTGTACACATCCTCAGCAAATGTGCAGTGCAATCCTAACCATGCCTACCATGAGAAGCAGGTCTTACTGAATTCAGCAGGGCTTGCACCTGGGTAAATGGGGTTGTCTCCTTAATCTAGGAGTCCGCGCCATTCATTGATCACCAATGGGGATTTGCTTGCCTGGAAGCAGACATGCAGAGGACTAGGCTGAATAAGGAAGTGGGTGGAAAGCAAGCCAAAGAGATAACTAAAGCCAAGTCGTCTGAGGGTTTTATGGCTGCAATGATGTGCTACTCTTTGGACTGGCAGAGATCAGCATGAGGATTAGCACAGTGTGACTTACAGGTGTTGGGCAATGACATGCTTCTTCGGCAGCACACCAATTAGAGCCTTAAAAGTCCCCTAATTATGTGCTCCTCTTTATGGAAACTAAAACCTCATTAAAGAGTCACTGTTGTTGTTTTCTACAGCGTTCCTCACAATATCGAGATAAAACATCCCGGAACATCACACATCTCTTGAAATGCAGCGCTGTTTTGAACACTTCAGCTTGGCTGCTGCCTTTCTTGAAGCACCGAGGGGACATTCTTGAGTGTATTCATTTAGAACACGCCATTGGGAAGTGTGCCACTTGAATCCCGAATGGATTCTTCCTCTGGGGTGCAAGCAGGAGGCTGCTATTCTACCCCTCAAGCAAATCTAAACAAGAGGTTCCTGTGAGGCCTCTGCCTCTCTTCTCGATGGGGCACATTTCTGAGGAGCAACAGAGTGGAATTCCTGACATTATTCCTCCACCCCAAGGAAGAAAAACAGAACCCAGAGGAGTGTACGTAAAGCTCTGGGTGTCATAAAAATGCAAATACAGTACATGTAATGGAAGAGTTTCAGCATTTTAAACCCTGCCCGCCATGACTCTGCTTGATCCCTCTGTTTCTACAGCTATCCTCCCACCCCTACTTTCTTGATCTTTGCTACCTCAATGTTTATGAGACTTTTTAAAAATACAGTGGTACCTCGGGTTGCATACGCTTCAGGTTACAGACACTTCAGGTTACAGACTCCGCTAACCCGGAAATAGTGCTTCAGGTTAAGAACTTTGCTTCAGGATGAGAACAGAAATCGTGCTCCGGCAGCGCTGCAGCAGCAGGAGGCCCCATTAGCTAAAGTGGTGCTTCAGGTTAAGAACAGTTTCAGGTTAAGTACGGACCTCCAGGATGAATTAAGTACTTAAGCCGAGGTACCACTGTATGGGAAACACAAATTTGCAATTTGGAAAACTTTAATTCTTAAAAGAGAACCAAACCTTGAAAACAGAAGGAAGGAAGAGAGCGCTAAAGCTCTAAAGAAAAGCTTATTCACGTAAGATAGAATACATGATCATTTAAATATTTCCAGTCCCTGTTTTAGATTCTGCCCCATATCTACATTTGTATTTGCACTTTACCCGATTCGAATTTCCTATTACAAACTGAATTTCCTATTACAAACTGATTACAAACTGCATTAACTTATGAAATTACCTGTTCTGCCTCAGAATATTCACACTTAACTTTCCTTAAGCATTTACTTCATTAGCTTTGGTTTTGAAATCCCTAAACATCTCCAGATGTTGTTGGACTACAGTTCCCTGACCTTATGACATGGTGGCTAGGGCTGAAAGGAGTTTGAATCCAGCAACTTCTGCAGGGCCACAGGTTAGCCAACCTGCCAGAAGTGGGCTGTGGTATTTCAGAAACAGCCCCTCTTAGATTAACCCTGTTCAATAACTTTGTGTAGTTTCTGAGGCCCTTTCTCATGGTCCACCACCACTGCCAGAGGTGTTGGTGGTGAGAACAAGAGAGAAGATCATTTTGATTGTGGCACCCAGATTATGGAATGAACGCACTCAGTGTGATGCTTGGGCCTCCTCATTGCCGGCTTTTTAGCGGTAAGAGTAGTCTGGTCAGCTGTTTCTATCCTGAAGGATTGAAGTAGTTATTGGGGAATAACCTGTGCAACACTTTTGCCATGATCTAAAACAGAAATACTGTATATGACTATTTATTGATTCTCACTTCATTCTTTTTTTAAAAAAAAGAATGGAAAGCTGATTTTCCACATTTGCATCTGTTTTAAAAGCTAGCTTGAATCTGTAACACACAGGATCAGACCAATAGATTTATGTGTTGAAATAATTGTCTCATTTTCACCATAGGGCTATAGGACACTCTCTCATGCTGAATCAAGGCCATTGGTCCATCTAGTTCAGCCCGGTCTACTCCGGCAGCAGCTATCAAAGTTTCAGACAGGACACTCTCAGCTTTCCCCAGAGATGCCAGGAATTGAACCTGGAACCTTCTGCATGGAAAGAAAATACTCTACTGCTGATCTATGGCCTTTCACCATGAGCTAAGTCCACGAGTTAAAGGAAATTGCAATATTTAGAAATGTTGCAACTTAGTTATTAAAAAAATTAAAGCCCTCCAAATAAGATAACCAGCAGAATCTCTAAAGATCATCCCAGGAAGGACTGTGTAATGGGATGCTTCTCTAGCCCCTTGATAAAAACTGCATTTAAAAAGAGCTTGTGACAGTTGATTCCATTTCTTCATTATTGCAATGAAGGGGAATAGATCAGGTAAGAGGCAAGCTGAATTTAAGTGTACCAAAGCATGCTCAGATATCTCTTGTTGGAATTACTGGAACTTTCCTGTTGAAACCAAAATATTAAAAACCGCTATATTGCTTCTGAATGCTGTTCACTATGCAAATTAGCTTTGTGAAGGGAATACACACACTATTCCCCTGCCCCCTCAACAACTGGACAGAGATCCCAGAGAGAGGGGAGGAAATTCTTTTTCTTTTTAATTTGCATTTTATTTATTTGTTAACATTTTTATATTACATCGGTAAACATTGTCACATTACAGAGGGGAGGAATTTCTGTACACCACAGCAACTCTTTGACCCTCAAGTATGTCCTGATGCTGCACCGAGTACCCAGGTGGACATAGCTGGGTGAGACCAACTCCATCCTGCTCACCCATCCAGGTCTCGGTGATGCAGACCAAATCAGCCTCCTCATCCACAATCAGCGGATGAGAGAGATCTTACTCAAAGCCAACCTGGCATTCAGCCACAGCAGCCACAGACCCAACACCTGGCTGATAAAAGACAACCACAATTCCCCAGGTTGGAGGAAGGGCTAGCACGGGGTCCCATCCCCTGATCTTCCCAGCTCCTCTCTAAAGGAACTGTTTTGTTTATTGAGATGAGCCTATATAGACTAGAGACACTTGTTGCTGAGGAAAGCCACCTAACACCTTGTAAGGGACTCTTGCGGTTCTTATGCTTTATAAACAGACAAGCTGAATGTGGCTTGTTATGCCAGAAGAATTGCCTACAGATGGTCAGCCGATCCTGGCTTTCCATCCACTGCTTGAGAGCCAGTGTGGTGTAGTGGTTAAGAGCGGTAGACTCGTAATCTGGTGAACCGGGTTCGCGTCTCCGCTCCTCCACATGCAGCTGCTGGGTGACCTTGGGCTAGTCACACTTCTCTGAAGTCTCTCAGCCCTACTCACCTCACAGAGTGTTTGTTGTGGGGGAGGAAGGGAAGGGAGAATGTTAGCCGCTTTGAGACTCCTGAAGGGGAGTGATAAAGTGGGATATCAAATCCAAACTCCTCCTTCTCCTCCTCCTCCTCCTTCTTGCTGTGCTGCTTCTTGATTCTGGGCTCTCTATATTGATGGATGAGACTGGCCAGTTAAGCTCTCTGAAAACAGCATATGTATTCTGTATGTAGTCAAAAAGATGTGATGCCTAGAAAGGAGTCATGAAGAATCTACTATATACAGTAAGCTTTACAGAGCCTACTCTAGATTTGAAGGGTGCCTGGTTAAAAATATTGGCGTTTGGGCTTCCAGGCTGAACAACCACGAGGTTTTGTGATAACTGCTAATCATGGGGACAGTGCTGAGACATTACTTTTTGTGGGCCAGTTTCTGTTGTTGAAAATGTGCACATTTTGCTGCCTCACACAGTTCTTTTCAAAGCAGGAAGAAAAGACTTTCCAGCCACCAGCTTTTTTTTGCTTCTTGGGAACAAAATGGCAATTTTTTTCTTATCTCAGTGGGAGTGGATTTCACAGTACCTTTTAAAGTGCTCTAAATTGCAGAGTGCTTTAAAATGTTTTAAGGGTGTGTCACAAAAGAGGGCAAAACATAAATAAAATCCAAAAGTGACTGCCAAGCCAGAACTGGTTGAGTTAGAAGCAGTTTGGCACTGTATCTTGAAGACTGTACTGCATCAGCCCCTGATGGTTTCAGTGGAACCAGCAGTGTGTTGCTGTGACTCTTTTTACTCTCTTCGTATACACTGATAAACATGCGAAAAGAGGGAACTCTCACAGCAGCTCCTTGGAGGCCTGTTGTCAGCTAGAATGGTGGGTAAAAAGATGAGTATGGGTAAGTAAACAAGGGTCTCTGGGATGCACAAA